TTCACGAAGAGACAGGAGGTTAAGCTCATCCAGAGCTTTCACGAAGAGACAGGATTCCTGTGAGATAGAGATAAGGAAGAATTAGAATCTGATCTCACACTAGAGGTAACAAAGATTCTTCAGTAACAGAGGCTCAGGAAGCTAACCAACTAAGATCAACACTGCGGCGTGGAATCCAGGTCTGAAGGTAGCTTAAATACTGTGGTCCTCCTGATTAGTAGATCAGCCACAGGTTTGTGAGAGGCTCAGCTCAGGAGGACCCACGGCGCACTCTGCTGGAGGCAGAGGGTAATCTCCAGAACCTGACAGTGACTCCAGCCCTAAGAGAAAGAGACAAAAGAGAGCAGAAGAGGATCCTCGGCGCCCTCTGGTGGGCAAGCCTGAGGATCCCAACAGAGCCCCCCCCTCAAGGGCGGATACCAGACGCCCCCTGAAAAAAAAAAAAGTCCAAAAAACAAACAAAAAACAACCCACCCAGGGCGGGCGGAGGGGGCACTAGGGCGAGGAAGGCCAGAAAACAACAAAAAACAGAGTCCAGAACACGAAAAACAACCCACCCAGGGCGGGCGGAGGGGGCACTAGGGCGAGGAGGGCCAGAACCAACAGAAAAAAAAGGTTCAACCAACAAAAAACAACCCACCCAGGGTGGGCGAAGGGGGAAACAGGCCTGGAGGGCAGAAAACAAAACCAGAGTCCAGAACAAAAAACGATCCACTTATGGTGGAAGAAAACAAAAGAAAACCCCAAAAATTTCTCGGGCAAAGTGTCTGGTGGCCGGCCGAGGGACCGGCAGCGGGGCAGAGTCTCAGGTGGCCGGCCGAGGGACCGGCTGCAGGACACAGTCTCAGGTGGCCGGCCGAGGCACCGGCAGCAGGACACAGTCTCAGGTGGCCAGTCGAAGTACCGGCAGCAGGACACAGTCTCAGGTGGTCTACCATGGGGCCGGCAGCGGAGGCGTAGAAGCTGCTCAGGAGGCCGACCGTTGGGAAGGTGACGAGGTCGAATCTCAGGGGGCCTACCGCTGGGCCGAAGGCTAGACAGATGCTCAGGTGGCCGACCACGGGGCTGGGAACGAAGCAGCATCTTAAGAGGACCACCGCCGGGCCGGAGGCATGGCAGAGGTTCAGGGGGCCGGCCGAGGATCCGGTAACGGAGCAAAGTCTTTGGTGGCCGGCTGCGGGGTCGGAGGCGAGACAGATGCTAAGGAGGTCGACCATGGGACTGGAGAAGAAGCAGCGTCTTGGGAGGACCACTGCTGGGCCGGGGGCATGGTTGAGGTTCAGAAGACCGGCCAAGGATCCAGCTACGGAGCAGAGTCTTAGGTGGCCGGCTGCAGGGTCAAAGGCGATGCTGACACTCTGGGGGTCTGCCACGGGGTCGGCAATGAAGATCCGGAGGTCTGCCGCGGGGCCGAAGGTGAAGCTGACGCTCTGGAGGTCTGTCGCGGGGCTGTAGGCGAAGCAGCTTATCAGGAGGATGACGCCCAATCTTCAGCAGGTACCCCCACGGGGTACCCCGTCCCCTCCTCGGCAGCTCAGGAACAGTCTCAGAAGCGGCCGCCGACTGCGGCTCAGGAGGTGGCTCTGAGGAGACCGCCGACTGCGGCTCAGGAGGAGGCTCAGAGGAGACCGCCGACTGCGGCTCAGGAGGAGGCTCAGAGGAGACCGCCGACTGCGGCTCAGGAGGAGGCTCAGAGGAGACCGCCGACTGCGGCTCAGGAGGAGGCTCAGAGGAGACCGCCGACTGCGGCTCCTGGTCTGGAACTGGGGAGCCCGCCGACTGCGGCTCCGGGTCTGGAGCTGGGGAGCCCGCCGACTGCGGCTCCGGGTCTGGAGAGCCCACCGATAGCGGCTCTGGAGCTGAGGAGCCCTCCAATAGCGGCTCAGGAGCAGGAGAGCCCGCCGATTGCGGCTCTGGGTCTGGAACAGGGGAGACCACCGACAGTGGCTCCACCACAGGAACATGCGGGACCACCGACTGTGGTTCCGTCTCAGGAGCAGGCGACACCACCGACTGTGGTTCAGCCTCAGGAACTGGTGAGGCCACCGATTGTGGTTCCACCTCAGGGACAGGCGACACCACCGACTGCGGTTCAGACTCAGGAGCAGGTGGGACCACCGACTGCGGTTCCACCTCTGGCAACGGAGGGGCCACCCATGGAGGCTCAAGTTCAGTCTCTGAGGTGACTTGAGGCGTCGGTGGAGGGTTCTTGGCGATTAGTGGTCTCTGTTGAAAGGCTCTTGGAGGAATTTCTTCACAAACTCCACATTCTGAAGCCCTCTTAAGTGTATGCTCAGGGGTCTCCGGTCGGCTCAGGGCTAACTCAGGGATCCCTGGACGGCACAGGGCTAACTCAGGGGTCTCTGGACGGCACAAGGCTAACTCAGGGGTCTCTGGACGGCACAAGGCTAACTCAGGGGTCTCTGGACGGCACAAAGCTAACTCAGGGGTCTCTAGACGGCTCAGAGCGTGCTTACGGCGACGCCGTCTCTTACATTGGGGGGTCTTAGAAGCGGGGCTAACAGGTTTATTGATTGAATCTGTCGATAAACTAACCGGTTGAAAAATATGAATACCAGAATGAATTTCAGGAACTGAGGCTGTGCGGTTCTGGGTCTAGTTTGCAGTCCAATATCTAACCCGACTGCAAGCTCAATGAGGTCCTCGAGGTTATCTGGTTCAACATAAAAGGTTAGTTCGTTTCTGATCGGTTCATTTAATGCTTGGAGAAATGCAGTCTTAAGTGCAGACTCATTCCACCCGGAAATGGCTGCTTTTTCCTGGAACTCGGAAGCAAACTCGGCAACTGATCTATTTCCCTGTTTGGATTCCAAAAGTCCCCTTGAAAACCAGGATTTATTTGTGACCTGATTAAAAGTCCTTTCAAACTCCTGGATGAACGTTTCATAATCATAGTGAGAAGATCTAGATCCGGTCTCCGCCCATTCAAGGGCTTCACCGGACAGAAAATAAATTACAAAGGCTATCCTATCCCTATCATACAGGAAATCTGACTCGAAAAATTGAAAAAATAACCGACACTGAAATAGAAATGTTTTGAGCTTTCTTGGATTGCCGGAAAATCTCTCAGGCAGAGAAGGACCAGGTGACGAAAGCGACGGGATGAGCTCAGACCAGAAAGGAGGGTTATTATCTTGACTGGCAGGTGACGGACGGAATTCCGGAAGTGACGAAACCGGAACCGGAAGTTGAACTGGCGCCATCTTGTGATTCCCACAAAGCCTGTGGGATCTTGAAACGTGTGTTTTCTTAAAGTCCAACTGGGATTTTAACTCACGGAGGGACTGTGTGTGATCAGGAGTCAGAGCGTCCTGTTTCTCAGCTCTACGACGGAGGTGATCTGCTGGGCTTTGTGTTTGGCCGCAGTGTTCTGTCATGATGGGTTCTGGGAGTAAAGCCCAAAATGCAGAACACACACGGGGAAACTGGGTAAAAGTCCAAAAGAGTTTATTAAAGCACAGATATGGATATGACACGGGAACTGGTTCAGACTAGAGAGCGGGTTCACCGAAGATTGTACAGGGACTGGAGACTGTAGAAAGGCAGAGTTCATGAGAGGCTAAGCTTCTAGCTTCAGGCTAGCGTGGCAGTCCTTGATTTGAGCTTCCAGCTCACTGCAGAGATCAACAAGGGAATACACGAAGGACTCTAGAAAATGATTCTACGTAGGAACCTCCAGGGAAACTCCACATAGTGGTCTTTAGATTTCAACCACGTAGAAATCTTGGGTTGGCTCACCAGGGCAGATTAGCTGGTTAGGTCTCCTAGAGCTTCAGGCTTGAAACTGGTTTACTGTGATGCAACTCTCCCAGAGCTGCAGGCCAGAGACAGGTTGCCAGAGAGACAGCTCTTCCAGAGCTTCACGAAGAGACAGGAGGTTAAGCTCATCCAGAGCTTTCACGAAGAGACAGGAGGTTAAGCTCATCCAGAGCTTTCACGAAGAGACAGGAGGTTAAGCTCATCCAGAGCTTTCACGAAGAGACAGGATTCCTGTGAGACAGAGATAAGGAAGAATTAGAATCTGATCTCACACTAGAGGTAACAAAGATTCTTCAGTAACAGAGGCTCAGGAAGCTAACCAACTAAGATCAACACTGCGGCGTGGAATCCAGGTCTGAAGGTAGCTTAAATACTGTGGTCCTCCTGATTAGTAGATAAGCCACAGTGTGTGAGAGGCTCAGCTCAGGAGGACCCACGGCGCACTCTGCTGGAGGCAGAGGGTAATCTCCAGAACCTGACAGTGACTCCAGCCCTAAGAGAAAGAGACAAAAGAGAGCAGAAGAGGATCCTCTGCGCCCTCTGGTGGGCAAGCCTGAGGATCCCAACAAATAAAAATGATGATCTTACTTTTTTTTCTTTTTTTATTCCAATTTCAGTTTTTTATTTTTTTTTATTTTGGTTGTACGTTCTTCTTTTTGCTGTTATGTTCCCTGTTTTCTATTCTTCTCATCTCATACCGGTGTGGAAGCAGAATTATAACAAGTACTGTACATCTTCTGCGTTATCAACTTTTCCTGTTTTGCTTTATTTTCTCTCTTTTCGTGCTCTTTCCTCTTTTTTTTCTTTATCTCTCCCCTATTTCTTATCACCTCTTTCTTTCTCAACTCCATTTCCATCTCCATGTCACTTGTATATTTCATTTCTAAATCATTTTTAATAAATCTTTAACAGTCAACAGTCATAATGAGCTGCTTGTAAAAGCAACTCTGTTGAGCCATCACCCAGCATCTATTCCAGCGCCACAATAGCAAAAGAGAAGACAAAATAAGGAAAACTCTGGATTCAACTTGCTTTGAAAGACAGGAAGCAAAGACCCTATGTTCAGTCTCTTTGCATCATAGTCAGCATGTAGTCTGTTTTGGTAGGCAAGCAGACCTTTCTACGGAGTGGTGTTTTGTGGATGTGTAACGTACCTTCAGCATAAAACCTGTGTTCCTCTCCTCTCAGACCCGAAGGGCCACAGGCAAACAGAGTTGAATGGGAGTTGGCAGCTGTCGCTGGGATGTGATGTTAAGGGGGAGTCAGTCTTGCTTAGGGTATCTTCAACAAAAAGATTCTGCAAAATCACATTTTAATACACACACAGAGACGCACATATACACCTCAGTATGTACAGACCATGTCTGTCATCTCTTTATTCCACTAACCATCTTTTTACTGTAAGGGGATCTTTACAACTCCTTACAGAAGGACCCTTTATACAATAGATAGTGTATTTTCATGTTGAATCCTATGGCTGTTGGCACTATATCTGCGTTGACATCATTTGAAATTATTTATAATTGAAATCCCATGGGTTTTGAAAATAGTTGTACTTCCTTAAAATTACATTAGAATCAAAACATCTGCATTTTCACAAAAATATCTACCCAGAAGTCAGTTTATTTTCCTTTTCCAGCATCCTCTCTGGTTCTCCTGTGCCTATATGAGCCATGTTCCTATATGAAAAAGTCTGTGCAATCTGAAAGTGACAAGGACTAGATTTATGAAAGTATAAGTGCCTGTTTCTAGTGGATTTTATAGTGCAGAGCAAGGAATATGCAGATGAGAGCACAGAGGGTGATGCAGGTATGGGCAGATGTGTTTCCAAGTGTGTATATGTGTGTGTGTTATCACTATAGGGACTGCAGCTCTTCTTCATTTTTTAAGCATTATTATACACAACCTAGTAGCGACCAAGCTTCAAGAGTGTTGAGGTAAGGGAACATGACGTTTTTGGGAATGTCAGGGTACAGATATATAATGGAAAAAACACCTGATTCAGATTTGTTACTCATAGGGTGCCCATAGTGCATAGCTGAAATGGGTCCCAAATTGGATGACCTATGCCCAGTTAGAATCCCCATCTTCCAAGTAAATCCCATGTGGGGTCTAAAGATAGGGGTTTGCTGGGATTGTTTTCAACATCCATATACACAAAAGAATCTGTAGTCATTGTATAAGATGCAAATAAAAGAAAATTTGATCATTAAGCCAGTAAACCAAAATGCTTAATTTAGAAACTGAATAAAGGTAATAATTGATTACCTGCCTTTCTTAATTGTTCCATTTGTTTTAGTCATTAAACACAAAACCTCCAATGTCATTTTAACCGGATGCTAATCACATGTATCTGTTTGAGCAGAGTCACATAGAGAGAGAGAGCAAGAGGGGATGAAAGACCTGTAGGGAAAAATAGAGACCGGGATGAGTGGGCTAATGAAAGAGTTGGCAGTATTTACCATTTACGGCTGTGAAAAACAGGTAAAATCTCAAACAAAATTAGCAGATGGAGTGGACAGGTGGAAATAGGGTTGGTAAAAAAACTACTGTGAATACTATAAATTTGTCATATAAAGGTATGAATTTTCCTTAAGATTTGTTAGTAAGCATTTGTGTTTTAAGGAATAATACTGACATTATATTCTTAGAGATAAAGGTTAGTGTTACGATTCAATGAAGCAACACATGGATGTTTGTTAAGTAGAAGTGCATTGTATTGCCAAAAGCATTTGGCCTACCTTCACATATAGAAGCTTGAGTCATATTTAATTTTTTATCCAGTAAGTTTAAAATAATCGACCCTAGGCAAACTCTTTCATTTCTATGTCGGTTTCAAGGTTGGGTGGAAGTTGGTTGAGGACCCAAATGTGGACATGAGGAGGCAGAGATGAGTTCTTGCAGATTTAATTTAGAAACGAATGGCAACAGAAGCATAAATCCAAAAACAATAAATAGGAAAACAAAACCAGGAGACGCCAGGGAGAAACGAAGATCAAGAGTAAGGTAAAGAAGAGTAACCAGCACTGAGGAACTGCATGGGAGGAGTATATATGGGAGACAGAATAAAGACTGGGCTAATCAGCTAACAGAGAAAAGGTGTGGATGGAGGGAACTAGAAGCTAGGGGAACAGAGACTGGGACAAGAGGGAAACGGAAACAACACAACATGGCTAGAAAACCACTACAATGACGCAAAATGGGAAAGAAACCAATGACCAAGAAAACACAAAATAACAGTCTAACTAAAAACTGTCCACAAAGGGCAGAACCATGATAATCACTCTATATTGCATCAAGCACTAGTGCATTAATTTAGAAAAAGTAAAGAGAAATACACAAAATTTCCCACAAAAGTAAAGTACATTAAATGGTCCAAAGTGCATTGTTGTTAACTATTAAGAGTTCCTTTCACCAAGTATAAGTGGCCAAGTCAAGTGCCTTAAAACAGCTACAAACTTTATTCCCCTCCTCAACAAATTATACATTTGACAGGAGCCAATAAGGTTTCCCCCTACTTGTAAATGCATCTGTAGCTAAGTTGCTAAAGCCTACTAGAAAATATTTATTAGCAAGAAAACTTTATAGGAGACATACTGTATTTAACAGCTGAAATCATATCAAAACATTATGCTGGATTTCATTGAGTGAGTAAGTCTCTTTCATATCTTTGTACGTAGAAGTATATTAGATTTAGTAAATCTATGAACATGCAATTGATTGGATGTCCTTATTTCAATTACAATTAATGTTTTTGTCAATATAGGGTGAGAACCAAAAGTAGTGAAGTGTGTTTGTGTGTAAAACACAAACAAACTTTGTGGCACAACCAAAATGGATCTAAGCATTGCATCTGTAACATAACAGCAGCTGGTGCTTTTAGTTTAATATGTTGTCGTCCGTGCATACTTAGACTGTAGGCTGATCGTTCAACCAGTTCACCACCGCAATTCTCCCAGAGAAGATCTGGTGTGCTGTCCAGAGGCACCAGATTCATATTAGTGTTGGGGGCCCTGGGGGTGTTAGTTCATCTTTTACTTGTCCATGAATACCTTGAATCATCATCAGATCAGATTGTGCGGCAGCTTTCAAATGGTCAACAGAAGCAGCAAATAAAAGCGAGATGGAGAGGTTTGGTCACTGCATATTTAAGACACCTTTAAAGGTCCAATATTATGCTACATTTGAAAATAATAAATAATGGTTATAATGATTTACAATGTATATATTTGCCTTTTTGTAAATATATTTTCCATTTGTGCTGGAAGATTGGTCTTAGATAAGGCAGGCAGCATGTACCAGAGACATTTGGAAAAAAAAAGGCAGAGAAAGCAGAATAAAGCATTATCCTTGCTCCATGTAGTTAGCCAAGCCTTGTAGCTACACAAGTTCCTGGAAAAAGACAGAGTAAACCTTCTACATCTTTCTTAGGACTGCTGATTAGTTTGGATGTGTGGCTGATTGGGTCCAAATGATTCCATTAGGCGGTGCCTAATGAATGCATGAACATAAACCCGGTTTGGAGGTCCAGTGCCAGGGTCTGGTTCAGACTGCTGAGACTCCTGGACTTGATCCTTTATTTCCCATGATAAGCCCCCCACAATGCAGGAAGGTTGATGACTGTACTGCCGTCACAGTGCATGTGCCGATGAAAAGCTAGACAACCTGATAACGGTTAGCTAGAGGCCCTCCAAAAAAACACAAGGCTTGATGTTTCTTGTCCTTTAATGAATTCCTCCTTCCACAACTACCATAAAACTGAAAAAATACACAAATAAAGCATATTTTACCCACTTAAACACACACACACAGTATGAGTAAGCATGAAATAACTAGTACAAAAGTACTTCTTTTTCGGCAGAAAGACAGCGGGGTTTGGACACTGGACTATATTTTTCTCAAGTCAAGCATTCAAGAGGTTCCTTATTGCCTGCGTTTTCCGGATGCTTCTGTGCCTGGGACCTACTGTCAGAAACCGTGTCTTTTTCACCCTTATTTTTTTTAAAGTGTTATTCTTATTTGTCTTGGTTTTCTTTTAACATTCACTCATAAAAATATTTACAGGTGCTGGTCATAAAATTAGAATATCATGAAAAAGTAGATTGATTTCAGTAATTCCATTTAAAAAGTGAAACTTGTATATTATATTCATACATTACATACAAACTCATATATTTCAGATGTTTACTTTGTTTAATTTTGATGATTACAAATGACAACAAATGAAAATCTCAAATTCATCATATCAGAAAATTAGAATATTGTGAAAAGGTTCAAAATTGATGGCCCCTGGTGCCACACTCTAATCAGCTAATTAACTCAAACCACCTGCAAAAGCCTTTAAATGGTCTTTCAGTCTAGTTCTATAGGCTACACAATCATGGGGAAGACTGCTGACTTGACAGTTGTCCAAAAGACGACCATCGACACCTTGCACAAGGAGGGCAAGACACAAAAGGTCATCGCTAAAGAGGCTGGCTGTTCACAGAGCTCAGTGTCCAAGCACATTAATAGAGAGGCGAAGGGAAGGAAAAGATGTGGTCGAAAAAAGTGTACAAGCAAGAGAGATAACCGCACCCTGGAGAGGATTGTGAAACAAAACCCATTCAAAAATGTGGGGGAGATTCACAAAGAGTGGACTGCAGCTGGAGTGAGTGCTTCAAGAACCACCACACACAGACGTATGAAAGACATTGGTTTCTGCTGTCGCATTCCTTGTGTCAAGCCACTCTTAAACCACAGACAGCGTCAGAAGCGTCTTGCCTGGGCTAAAGAGAAACAGGACTGGACTGCTGGTGAGTGGTCCAAAGTCATGTTCTCTGATGAAAGTAAATTTTGCATTTCCTTTGGAAATCAAGGTCCCAGAGTCTGGAGGAAAAGAAGAGAGGCACTTCATCCACGTTGCTTGAAGTCCAGTGTAAAGTTTCCACAGTCAGTGATGGTTTGGGGTGCCATGTCATCTGCTGGTGTTGGTCCATTGTGTTTTCTGAGGTCCAGGGTCAACGCAGCCACATACCAGGAAGTTTTAGAGCACTTCATGCTTCCTGCAGCTGACCAACTTTTTGGAGATGCAGATTTCATTTTCCAACAGGAGTTGGCACCTGCACACAGTGCCAAAGCTACCAGTACCTGGTTGAAGGACCATGGTATCCCTGTTCTTAATTGGCCAGCAAACTCTCCTGACCTTAACCCCATAGAAAATCTATGGGGTATTGTGAAGAAGAAGATGCAATACACCAGACCCAACAATTCAGAAGAGCTAAAAGCCACTATTAGAGCAACCTGGGCTATCATAACACCTGAGCAGTGCCACAGACTGATCGACTCCATGCCACGCCGCATTGCTGCAGTAATACAGGCCAAAGGAGGCCCAACTAAATACTGAGTGCTGTACATGCTCATACTTTTCATGTTCATACTTTTCAGTTGGCCAACATTTCTATAAATCCTTTGTTTTTATTGGTCTTCAGTAATATTCTAATTTTCTGATATGATGAATTTGAGATTTTCATTTGTTGTCATTTGTAATCATCAAAATTAAACAAAATAAACATCTGAAATATATGAGTTTGTATGTAATGTATGAATATAATATACAAGTTTCACTTTTTAAATGGAATTACTGAAATCAATCTACTTTTTCATGATATTCTAATTTTATGACCAGCACCTGTAGATTTTAGATAACATACTAGCTACCAATGGATTTTTAATGTTCAGGATGTAATTAAGGAATTTTGCAAAGGATGCATTTTTATGTCAAAGCTCAGAACAGAGGACTGAGTTATCAAGGCAGACAAGCAGTTAGATTTCTCAAAATGACATTTATATATATATACATAAAAAAAAAACAACGGTGGATCTGAAGTAACTGCAAAGACACAAAGGCAAGAACCTTTGCAGGGGGAAAAATCAAGTTACTGAGCACGTTAATTTGACGGAGAATGATTACAAACACGTGAGTCACTAACCTGGTCTTAAAGTTCAGTCCCTGACCAGAGGAAGACGTGGATTCCAGCCATACGGCTGCCAAAACAATGTGGGGAACGCTGCTGAGAGAGTTCCAGATGCTGAAGCCTTGAAAAAGGAGATCAGATCCAAGCAGATGAAGGAAGGCAGAACGATCTAGATGGCGAAGCCAAAGCCGTTGTTAAAGCGGTTTACAGGAATCCGAGCCAGAGGATCAGAGATCCAAAGAGGTACTGACAGGAAATCCAGGAGTTATACCTTTTCACATGAGTATCTCTTTTTCAGTTTTTGAAGCATTTCAAAAGTGATATTAAAATTTTTTTATAATTTGTAAAATAAATATATAATATATAAGTTCATTTTCTTATTCTTATTAGAAAAAAGTTATTACAGCCTGTACTGTGATCCAAAGTAATGATCCAAGGAACTATGAGCAGTCATTATTAATGATACTGATATTGACAATTCATTCATAAAATGATGTGCATGGCATTGTTGGTGGTACATGCTGCATTGTCCCCAATGGGAGAAAATTGTGGAGGTTGAAAACAGCACTCACCTTTCATGCTTGTTTATGCTCTCTGTTGAAAGGACCTGAGAAGGGGAGGGATGAGTGGAAGTGGAAGACGGAAACAAGGAGGTGACCTCTCCTACGTTTACCCAGCCTCCACCCCCATTTGTTCCCCTCAGCCTCTGGAGACCCAGTGGCTGGGCCTTAATGAGGGACCCAATGGAATTGTTGGGACATCACCACAAAAAGCGCTGGGATGCTGAGAGCGGCTGGGCGAGGATAGAGGATAGATGAGTGAGTGTGTTTGTGTATGTCCGCTTTTGCCTTTGATGCTTAGAAGAGGAGGGCAGATAAAGGGCTTAGGAATATGAGTTACACAGTATTTTCTGCAAAGATATTTGTGGAAGGTGTTTCTTTCTTAGCTAGTGGAAAACTATTGTTTGATTTTATCTCAAAAAACTTTTGGTTTTCGAGACTGTTTTTTAAATTTATATTAAAAACTTTCATTCTAGAGACACTGTGTCATGATTTTATGGAAAGATCTGACCCACATGCAGAAAACCAAACAGAGAGACCAGGGGAATGTTTAAAAGTTTTATTGAGAACTGGTAGGGATGGGTCCAGTGCTGCTCAGAACACTGGCGAACCGGGACTGAAAAAGTGAAGGAAAGTTCCTGTGGTTAGTTCAGGCTCAGTAGGAAATTTGAGCTTCGATTTGCAAAAGGGAATTAAGGCAACAGGACTCACGTTTCCAGAAAAGGTGTCGTTCTCTACATCCAGTTGGTGTGGGTTGTTCCAGTAATTGACTTGCTCATTTACCCAAGTTGAGTTGTTTCCTTGAGGAACGGAGGAGCTGACAGCCACTTCGATTTGCTATGGTACTTGAACGGTTTCGTGTGGAGATGAATCCCCTGCTCAGTGTGAAGCTCAAACAATCATTTGGGGGAAAGTAGATCCAAACCTCCAGTTTGAATGCTCAGCTCAGTTTGAAGCTCAGACGATCCTTCCAGGGAGAGAAGGCCCAAAACATCTAGTTTGCAGACTTCCTGCCGAGAGGCAAAGACAAAAACAACAAGGTTAGGCTCAGGTTGACAAAAACTCAGTTTGAGTCAGCAAAACTCAGCTTGGCTAAATACCAGAAACTGGCAAACACTTTGGCGTTTAGGTAGTGGCAGTCAGCAGCTTAAGAGTCCTCGGTAATGAGGCAACCATCCGCAGGTGTGTGAGAGGGCCAATCAGAACCAGGCGCCACCTGGTGGTGTAGGCAAAACACACCAAAACACAACCCACACAAACTGGATTCCTTAACACACTGAAGGGTGTTTTTATGTGTTACCTTAACACAGACACATTTAAAACTCTTTAATCAGCTGGTCACCTCTGCGACAGATCAAAAAAGTCCAAAATTTAAAGGATATTGCTGTTTTTCTCAGTAGATAGGATAGTGATGCAAGTAACCTACAAAGCTGTAAAATAAGTTTTGGTTCATAATGTATTGCATTTGAATTATGGTCTTATTTTTTAAACGTGCTATAGAGCAGGTCAATGAGTAACTTGTCTGTGCAAAAGGTATGCAATCTCTAACTTTACTGCTTTTTACTACTGTAGTTGTCAGTCATGTAGTATGTATGCTCAGGGAGAACATGCAAACTCCATGCCCAAAGACGGAAAGTCACTGCACGAGTGCCCCAACTACCATGGGTACCACTGATGTCTTGACCCTCCAGGTTTTCTCCAGCTCTTCTCTGAGCCCGTTATTTCTCTAGTTCTCATGTTCCTTGTTCCTGATGTTTCAGTCACTTTGCATTGCTATGTCAACCAAAACAGCTTTTCTCTGCTCTTCCTCCACTACCACTACCACACATTCCTCCACTTCCTCCATTACTCCACAATATCCAGTTGATTCGCCAGTACCACTCTGTCCGTGTGTATCTGGAAGTCCCACAGGATCTTGGATCTCTCTTTCTCTACCACCTTTTTCACTTTTTTATATTTTCAGAATCACCTGTAATTTTATCTTCTTACTTAGGATTTTGACAAAGTTATGAATATTTTTTTTGCAAATTTGTTACTGTGTTTTTGCTGCGTCCCAATTCCAATTATGTATGTCCCACTATAACAATATAGCGTCTCAAAAAATCTGACACACGTCATCTCGCTCAAATTCTCATCTTCCGCAGCTTTGTCCGCGGGGTGCCGGTCATATATTCTCCTCATGATAGTTCACCTTGCAGGTAGTTTGTAAGATGGGTCACCTGTGACCTCCTGGAGAACAAGCTCTAGCCCATTGCTGATAGGCCGGCAGCTTGTGGCTATCCACTGTGCGAGGAGATTGGTTAGCTTGGCTGATAGAGCTGTGCTTATAGCCGCATCTATGTCAGCATGTCACATTCCATATGATAATTTCACAGCACGCCTATACAGTTTGTAGACTGACCCAGTGGTTGTAGACCGGACGAGCCCGGAACTGACAGCCCCGGAGTTGATGCCTCAGTTGGAATGCCCGGTCTGGTACTGTCAGCACTTGGAATAGATTATTACAGTTGGATAGAGAAAAATTAAAGTTTAGGTTATGAATGTAAATATGTGTTTCTGATTCTGATTTTAGGCCAGAAGTGAAGGCCTCGCAGGCCGTGACCGCGCACCATTCTCAACTTCAAATGATAAAGCTGTCTCTCTTCCAAATTTAAAAAAAGTCAGACAAAACATTGTTTTCAATAAAAGATCTTGCATGAAGGGGCATTTATGAAATACAGGTGCTGGTCATAAAATTAGAATATCATGAAAAAGTAGATTGATTTCAGTAATTCCATTTAAAAAGTGAAACTTGTATATTATATTCAAATATTACATACAAACTCATATATTTCAGATGTTTATTTTGTTTAATTTTGATGATTACAAATGACAACAAATGAAAATCTCAAATTCATCATATCAGAAAATTAGAATATTACTGAAGACCAATAAAAACAAAGGATTTATAGAAATGTTGGCCAACTGAAAAGTATGAACATGAAAAGTATGAGCATGTACAGCACTCAGTATTTAGTTGGGCCTCCTTTGGCCTGTATTACTGCAGCAATGCGGCGTGGCATGGAGTCGATCAGTCTGTGGCACTGCTCAGGTGTTATGATAGCCCAGGTTGCTCTAATAGTGGCTTTTAGCTCTTCTGAATTGTTGGGTCTGGTGTATTGCATCTTCTTCTTCACAATACCCCATAGATTTTTTATATGGGGTTAAGGTCAGGAGAGTTTGCTGGCCAATTAAGAACAGGGATACCATGGTCCTTCAACCAGGTACTGGTAGCTTTGGCACTGTGTGCAGGTGCCAAGTCCTGTTGGAAAATGAAATCTGCATCTCCAAAAAGTTGGTCAGCTGCAGGAAGCATGAAGTGCTCTAAAACTTCCTGGTATGTGGCTGCGTTGACCCTGGACCTCAGAAAACACAATGGACCAACACCAGCAGATGACATGGCACCCCAAACCATCACTGACTGTGGAAACTTTACACTGGACTTCAAGCAACGTGGATGAAGTGCCTCTCTTCTTTTCCTCCAGACTCTGGACCTTGATTTCCAAAGGAAATGCAAAATTTACTTTCATCAGAGAACATGACTTTGGACCACTCACCAGCAGTCCAGTCCTGTTTCTCTTTAGCCCAGGCAAGACGCTTCTGACGCTGTCTGTGGTTCAAGTGTGGCTTGACACAAGGAATGCGACAGCAGAAACCCATGTCTTTCATACGTCTGTGTGTGGTGGTTCTTGAAGCACTCACTCCAGCTGCAGTCCCCTCTTTGTGAATCTCCCCCACATTTTTGAATGGGTTTTGTTTCACAATCCTCTCCAGGGTGCGGTTATCTCTCTTGCTTGTACACTTTTTTCGACCACATCTTTTCCTTCCCTTCGCCTCTCTATTAATGTGCTTGGACACTGAGCTCTGTGAACAGCCAGCCTCTTTAGCGATGACCTTTTGTGTCTTGCCCTCCTTGTGCAAGGTGTCGATGGTCGTCTTTTGGACAACTGTCAAGTCAGCAGTCTTCCCCATGATTGTGTAGCCTATAGAACTAGACTGAAAGACCATTTAAAGGCTTTTGCAGGTGGTTTGAGTTAATTAGCTGATTAGAGTGTGGCACCAGGGGCCATCAATTTTGAACCTTTTCACAATATTCTAATTTTCTGATATGATGAATTTGAGATTTTCATTTGTTGTCATTTGTAATCATCAAAATTAAACAAAATAAACATCTGAAATATATGAGTTTGTATGTAATGTATGAATATAATATACAAGTTTCACTTTTTAAATGGAATTACTGAAATCAATCTACTTTTTCATGATATTCTAATTTTATGACCAGCACCTGTACATTAAATCAAAGACAAAGCTTAAGAGGCATCGGGAGTAAAGAAGGACCATGTTGGCACAAAACAAACTAAAGAAAATAGAAAAAACTAACATTCTGAGAAAAGTGTAATTTTATTGCAAAACATACATGTTAAAGAAAATTAGGATAACCATTCAGTGCTCTGAAATACTCTGTAGGGAGGTTTAAAATCTTTAAACACAGCTCATTTTAAAAGTAAAATATCACATGCATATTGGCAGGGGGCAAACCCCCAGCTCATTTATATATCAGTTTTGTTTGGCTCAAAGAAGGCTTTTGAAATGGGTGTCATTCAATGAGCTCCATGTCTTTAAGTAAGCACATGGCTACTTTCTTAGGCAGATAGGATAAGAAAGGGGCATCTGTGCATTCATTTGCTGTGCTGTAGTGATAAAAAGGCAAAAAACTTAAATAAAAATCTATGGCTTGCTTTTTTTAATACTGTATGTTTTCTTTTCAAAGTAACAGTTTGCTTGATCACAAAAGCCTTGTCCATGAAATGAAACATGCAGTGCGCCACCATTACAATTATCAGAGTGAACCTGAACTTAGCCGTGTGAGCAGACTGAGAGTAGCTACTGTATAGATAGAAGTCTTAATTGTTATTACTTTAAGTGGGCTGGTATGAAATAGTATGCAGACTTAGACTAACAGTACTTTTTTGAACAAAATTTTGTTTAGAATGCTTTCATGACATTTCAAT